TCCAATGCATTCTACTGTCATATATAACAAATTGGGATAAATAAATAAATTTTTTAAAATGCAAACAAAACATAACCAAATCTTGGCATATCATATTGAAAGCTCAGAAAATTGAAGATGAAGAAAAAAAATTTTTTGAGGGGTTGGAGATATAGCTTAGTGGTAGGGCACGTACCTAACCTTCACGAGACCTTGGGATCAGTCCCCAGCACCACAAAAAAGAAGGGAGGAGGGCAGACAGGATGCCTTAGAATTACATGCATCCTCTCCTAGAAACCATGCAGGCTAGAAGCAAGTGAATCCATAGCTTATATTGGGTATTTAAACTATTTCAGGAGAGAAAAGGAGACATTATGGTCTATTTGGTATAAAGAGGGTGTTGAGGACTGAGGGTGTAACTCAGTGGCAGAGTGCATGCCATATGCAAGGCCCTGGGTTCAATTCCCCCAAATAAGTAAATAAACAGGGCATCGAGTCTCACGGGATCACAAATCACTGTCCCAGGGGATGAGCGTGTGAGAGGAAGATTAGGATCTGAGAGTCCGGAGTGTTGGGATCATTCCGCCAAGGTTTACTGAGCACTGCTACATGCCAGGCTGCTGCCGGGGACTGTAGTCAGTAGGACAGACCAATTCCGGTCTTCTGGCACCTTGTGTTCGAGCAAAGGACACGAGCACTGAAGAAACACACAGAGAAATAGACGGCATAATGGCAGGTGGTGATGCGGGCTACAGAGAAAGAGAGAACAGCAAAGGAGCTGCAGATGAGGGCACTATTTTATGCAGGGGGCTCAGGGCAGGCTTTCTGATGAGGAAGGGAACTTGGCAGACACACAGGAGAAGAGCACTCCAGGGAGAGGGGACAGCAATGGCAGAAGAGGCCCTGAGGTGGCACATTCGTTAAGAGGCGTGGCCAGTATTATGGCTTGGATATGGAACGTCTCCCAGGGGCTCGTGTCTTGAAGGCTTGGTCCCCAGTGCAGCAGCGTCCAGAGTCGGGCCTTCAGGAAGGTGATTGGATCTTGAGGGCTCTGACCTCATCAATGGATTGATCCGCTGACAAATCCAGAATTTGTTTGCTTTCTTGGGGGAGGGGTGGAAACTGCAGGAGGTGGGACCTAGTTGAAGGGAGTGGGTTCTGGGGGGGGGGGTTATATCTTGTCCCCAGCACACCCCACCCTCTCTGCTTCCTGGCTGCCATGATCTGGTGGCTTTCCTTCCCCTCGCCCTTCTGCCAGCAAGGCCCATAGCGACAGAGCCAAGTTACCCCAGGCTGAAACCTTTGAAACTGGGAGCCAAATTAAGTCTTTCCTCCTTGAAGTTGTTATTCTCAGGTGTTTTGTCACAGCAATGGAAGCTAACACAACCAAACAGCAGAGATCTGAAATAAAAACAGCTTCAGCAAGATAGAAGTTTATTTCTTGCTTGTGAGAAAGGTGGCTCTAATCACAAAATCTTGATTTTACAACTTGTTGCCACCTAACGACCTGTTGCTGCGTTGCAAACATCCTGAACCCTGTGCTTCTCAACTCTGCAGCTTGGCCAGCTCATTGCTGCTGCACGTGGCGTCAGCAGGGGTGCCTTGACCCGGGTGGAGAGTCCACTTCCAAGACAGCTCCCGGTCTTAGGCAACTTGGAGCTTTCTGTTAGCCAGGAAGGGACTTGGCCTGGGCCTGGTTTCCTCTCCACGTAGGCCTTCCTCAGGCCCTTTGGACTTTCTCAAGCATGATGGCCAGGTTCCAGGAGTGAATGTGCCAAGAGAGCAGGGCAGACGTGAGAGGCATTGTTTCGCACAGGCCTTGTATGCCACACCTGTTACAGCTGGCCCACTCTAGACCAGGGCAGTCACAGAGCTGCCCCCAGTGTCATGGGAGGGGGAACAAGATGCCACCTCTCCATGGAGGAGTTTCAGAGTCACACTAGTAGAACTCACAGAATGGATTGTACCATTGCTTCTGTTCTTTGGAAAGATACGTCTAGCTGAAGCCTAGGCCCGTCGAGGTCTCCCACCTCTCCAGACTCTTGCCCAAATCCACGAGGTCCAAACGCCTCCCTGTAGCGACTCATTCCATCCAGCATGGAGAGAAGGGCAGGGGGGCTCTCACCAAATGCCACTGGTGATTCAGCTCTACTGCCAGAGCATGGCACAGGCTCCGTCATGTCTGCTATGACATGAGGGGTCTGTCGCCCCGGAACAGGGTGGGCACACTACCGCTCACAGCCAGATCCACTGCCACCTGCCTGGCCCTCTACAGAAGGGCTTGCTGATGGCTGTAGAGCAATGGATATTGGGGAACAGCGTGCCTGGACAGCAGCAACAAAGTGGGACGGCCACAGGAAGTGAGGTGGGACCCATGGCCCCCCATGAGATCTCATCCAGCTCTGTGAATTGGTTTGGTTTTTGTTGTTGTTTTTGTCTTGTTTTTGCAATGCTGGGGATGGAACCTGGATCCCCCATCCCAGGGCTCTGAATTTTATTCTTCGTTCAAGAGGTCAGGAGGAGAAAAGCTGCCTGGCACCCACAGTTAGGACTGTGCTTTCCTGTTGAACATGAGCAGTTGCCCAGAACATCAGCATCAGACAAGGCCACCCCATGGCCATGCTGAGTAATCCCATCCAAACACGGACAACCATGAACGCTGTCAAAGCACACAGTCCCAAACACCCAGGCTTATGTAAGTGACAGCTGCTTCTACCAATCACAGCTGCAGCCTCCCTACAGCCAGCCATTCCTATAAATAAAATACGTTGAGGTGCCCAACCTTAAATTATCCCTGTCATTCAGAGAAAACCCTGGGTTTTCTCCTCCCTCAAGCATTCAACTGAAGTTCAAATTTTATAAGTTCCAACACCCTCTGGGCAATAAAAAGGGTGGAGCCTGTGTTGCTTTTACCCTCACTGCAGCTTGTTCAGACACAGTGGTGCTCTTTGGAGTGGCTTTTGGCTGCAGGCCTCAATAGGGCACATCAGTTAAACCTCAACTGGCTGTTAATGGAGCCAACCGTTTAAAGGAGATCCAAATTTTGATGTCTCCCCCTCCCTCCCCCCCTCCTCCCCCCCCCCCCCCCCTCTCCCCCTCCTTCCTCCTCCCTCCCCCTCCATCCCCCCTCCTTCCCCCCTCCCATAACCTCAGTCCAGAGGTGAACCATGCTTCCTCCATCACCAGGGTCCCGGGCTCCTTCCACATTGTGGCTCTGCCTTCCTCCTCATGGATATGTAGCATTTCCAACAGATACAAAGGGAGAGAATATAATGGCTCCCAAACCTCAATTCATGGCTCATCTCACTTTGCTATACCCCAGCTATTTTCCCAGTTCTTCCATCTGGGTAGTTTTGAAGCAAGTCCTGGATATATCTTAAAACCTTTATGTCCAGGGGCTGGGGCTGTAGCTTAGTGGCAGAGCACTTGCCTAGTATGTGTAAGGCACTGGGTTCAATCCTCAGCATCATATAAAAATAAATAAATAAAATAAAGGTATCATGTCCATCTACTAAAAAATATATATATATTGTTTAGACCATTCGCCCTTGGCCATCAACTTAGCCCTCAACTGCTTACTCTCCTCCAAGCTCAAGGGGTGGGATTGAAACCAGCCTGCTAGTGCTGCTGTGGTCTTTCTGGTGAGCAGCCCCTCTTCTGAAGCTACCCAGGGGCTGTCAGCCATTGGTCAACTCAGTAGCACACAAAAAGATACTATTGCTTTGAAGAGTCCTAGGAGGGAGACCAAATGTATATTTCACAGGGTCACAGAATGTTACTGTCTCAGTTCAAACATTGAGTCCAGTGATCCACACACAGTTCATTTTTTAGAATAAAGTATAGGAGTCAGGTGTGGTGGTGCACACCTGTAATCCCAGCAGCTTAGGAGGCTGAGGCAGGAGGATCACAAGTTCAAAGCCAGCTTCAGCAATTTAGTGAGGCCCTTAGCAACTTAGTGAGACCCTGTCTCAAGACAATAAAAAGGGCTGGGAAAGCTTCCAGGTGGCAGTGTGGCCCAGCCTCTTCACAGATGACCTGAGCCAGTCTGGCAAACCTGGTTGTGCCCTTGCTGTTGATGTGCTATGTCTATAGGAAAGGGGACCAATCCACCATTCCTGGTAGACCTGACCTCCTCCCCGACTGCCTGCTGCCTGAATTCTCCTCCAGCCTCCAGGGTGGTCCCCCCACCTGTTAGTTGCTATTAATGGTTCTGTCTTTCCGTCCTCCCGCACCCCCCTGCCCCACCTATCCCTTACACATTGAAATTGGTGAGCAAGGTGAGAGCCAGCTCTGGGAGGACATTACAGAACCCCCTGTTCTGACTGACATTCACCGTGGTCTTGCAGGACACCTTGGCAACGTGTACATTGCTTTTTTTTTTTTTTTTTGCACAGTCAGTACTATAAAATTCGTTTTGAGTTTTATAACTTTGTGGCATTTTAGGTAAGATTGTATTTGTACTTTGTTGTTTAGAATGATTAAAATGTATTGAATAAACCTAGGATTAGAATGCTAAAAAAAAAAAAAAAAAAAACGGAGGGAGCTGGGGACATGGCTCAGTGGCAGAGCATTTGCCTAGCATGTGTGACGCACTGGGTTTGATACTCAGCACCACATAAAAATGAAGCAAATAAAATAAAGACATTCTGCCCATCTACAACTATATATTTTTTTTAAAAGGTTGCACTTTGATTCAGCATCCCCAAAATAAAGCCAAGGAGCTTTTGAGGGACTGGAGCCCATGCGTGTGCTCCCCTGAGTATTTGTGAAACGGGGCCAAGCACTGCAACTGCGCATCCTGGGCCCTCGCCTGCGCCCGCCGCGCCTGCAGCCGCTGAGCAGCGGTGCCTCCCGACAGGCCCCCTCCACCCATCCTGCCATGAAGCAGCTGGGCAGCTGCAAGCTTGGCCTTTTAAAACTCCACCCTTCTCCTCTGTGCTCAGAACCCAGGCCCTGGACGCTGCAGTGCCTTTCAAACCCGGCGAACGCCTTCCTTTGGCCTGACTGTAGTTTCCTTCCAGGTTTGTTCTCAATTGAGCCCGCAGCACTCTCGAGGTCACTCTCCCGCCACCCTCCTCACATCACCGCACAGGTGAGAGTTGATTCCCGCATTGTCAGTTCTATCCGTTCATTTATGCACCTGTCCTCCAGCTAGGCGCGTCCTTTCTTGCTTCTTGTGGCTTTTCTGTTAACTCTTATTTAATCTACAGTGACTTTTATTCCCCTTAGCTTTTTTTTTTTTTTTTTTAGGAAACGATATTGGGCATGGGAACTTTTGACTCAGTGATGGTAGAAATGAAATCTCGTCAAACACAGGCACAAACACACAGGCAGGGCTTTAGTTGGGCCTTTGCCAAAGCCGGTAACTGGGACTTCAGCTAGGGGGAGACAACCCTGACCGAGGGACCAGGCTGCTCTCCAGACACAGGGAGAACAGGCTTTCATTGGCTTGCGAGAGTGATAGAGTTTTGGTAATTTCCAGATCCAAAAGATGTTTCTTCTTGCATGAAATTTGGACCACCAGGCGGTCACAGTTGACATTTCCTAGTGTAGCTGGCGCCATCCTCCTGTGCAAATGTCCTGGCCTTGTGGCTCTACCTGGGCCTTACAATGGAGCCGAAGGACTTGGGCTGCTTGGGCTACTGTAGCTGCTGAGAAAGCACGAGAAAACACACACCAGTGCCAGCCCGCGACCCACATGGCCACATGCCCACATGGCCACGTGCAGGGCCCAGTAGAATCAATCCCAAAGGTTAAGGCAGCAAAGTGACAGATGTAACATGAAGACAGAGATGCCATTCCAGTCACCCACCACACATCGGCAGGCCCAGGGGTCAAAGCAGCCTTCAAGTCCCTGAAAAGTAACCTGGCAACTGTTGTCACGACCCGCACGTCAGAGTGTGATCCTCAACCAGCTGTGAGGAATCTAATCTGTATTGCGCAGCTCAGTGACCTCCTAAGTCAGTGATTTTTAAGTTGTATCAAAAGAAGTGAAGCTGTTGGGCGAGGTGGCACACACCTATGATCCCAGCAGCTCAGCTGAGGCAGGAGAATTGCAAATTTGAGGCCAGCCTCAGCAACTTAGCAAGGCCCTAAGCAACTTAGCAAGGCCCTAAGCAACTTAGCAAGGCCCTAAGCAACTTAGCAAGGCCCTAAGCAACTTAGCGAGGCTCTGTCCATATTTTTTTTTTAAAGACGGGGGGTGGGGGAAGAGAGAGAGAGAGAATTATTTTTAATATTTATTTTTCCGTTTTCGGTGGACACAACATCTCTATTTTATTTTATGTGGTGCTGAGGATCGAACCCAGCGCCCCGCACATGCCAGGCGAGCGCGTTACCGCTTGAGCCACATCCCCAGCCCCATGTCCATATTAAAATATAAAAAAGGTCTGGGAATGTGGCTCAGTGGTTAAGCGCCCCCGGATTAAATCCCTGGTACCAAAAAAAAAAAAAACAAAAGTGAAGCCAGAGGGTTTGTCTGGATTGTTCCCTGGTGAGGGCTTCATCTTTGCAAGCGTTCGCTTCTGTAGTGTTATTAGGGTCTCATGGTGGGTCTGGGAACAAAGCCCAGGGGTGGAGAGGCACCAGATTGTGCCACAAAGGGTAATCACTTATTGCATCCAGGGGCTTATTCCACTGTCCCCTCCTCTGTCTCACTATCATGCTCCCCAACGGTCTCACCTTCTATCAGTGCTCCTCACTGGCTCACTTCTGCACTGAAGCTGATTTGAACTTTTAAAGATCACTCTTGTTACTGGTGTGCGTAT